CTCGCCATCTTTTCGCTTCAATGTGCATTGTGGGTGTTAAATTCTCCAACTATTCTGTCCCCATGATATGTCACCCATAACTTCAACATCAGCAATTGTCAATAACGTGGATCTAATTTCAAACTTGATATTAATGTTTACAAAAACATAGTCATTCGAAGAAAGTTTAACGAACGCTAATCACCAAGAATTACTCCCAAAACGTTTTCCCTATTTTTTTTTTACATGCGAACTATTTTCTCCCCAGTAGTAACGAGAGGAGAGTACTGCGTGGATCAAACTCACTTTTTCTCACTAAATTATCCAACATTCACTGTTACAGGGGAGGTTAAACATCACATAGCAGCTCAATACTTTTTCTTTTAATGCTATGTCCATATAGAAATTAGAAGATCATGGCTCTCCACACATTCCATTTATTATCTTTGAATTCTCATGACTTCTGAGTAAACATAGTAGGATGGTTTCCTTTTGTTTTCTCTATTGTTTGGATTTCAAAGTTTTCCTTCTCTTAAATTGGTTGCCAGTCAAGTCTAGAGAGCCTATTCTACCCTGCTATTTAACCTACAGCTAAAATTTCCTTTGTTGCTAATGGTTTTTTCGATTCTTTAATACATTTCCTGTAGATGTGGATGTAATGGATATCGGCTCGGAGCGAGAACTCGGAGAGCCGAGTTCGAATTCCAATCGAGTTCGTTAGATTCATTTACGCACAAATACCCTTGCCAGGGGGGAGGTATGAATCCATCTCTTCTCCCCTCAGCTATGGGTTGAATATCAGGACAGACTAGGTTCTTTAGCCTTGGTTGGCAACCTACTGCGGGAAAAATGTGCCGCGTCAGTCATGTATCCAAAGATACATGATCGCCCAAGCGTGTATCACGTATGGCACTTAAATGACTGACTGAATATCTTGCCTAGTGTCTGAAATGCATATTTTATTATTTCAATGTTTATCCGAATTTTTGTGTTGCACTTTCTTTCGTTTGTAGAATACAAAGTCGAAAGGAATTCCTCAGTGGAAAATGTAGGTCATTTTTTAACTTCGCTTGTTTCTTTTCCTCTAGTCTTCGTAAAACCAATTCTCAGCTAAGTCAAAGACAAAAAAAAAAAAGAAAAAAAAAAAAAAGGAGAGTAACATGTCCGTTATGTAAAGGGAGGAGGTAGGTGTTCAGGGTGTTAGACGCGACTGAAAAGTTAGAAATTAGTTGAAGGGCGAGTCATTAGGTTGTTGGAGTAGCGATGATGATGATGATGTTGATGTGTCAAGCAGAGAACCTTCACCCCACTACTCCACAGATATGGGATAAAATGGGCAGTCAGAGTGCGTAAAGGATTGCTTCCATAAAATCTAATTCCATCATGACTAAAATTAGGTAACTCCACGAAATCGCTAAAAAAAAAAAAAAAATAGCATGATGAAAAAGACGCCAAACTCGACGAAAACAAAATTTTATCGTCTAAATGTTCATGTTATTATTAAGAGGAAAGACCAAAGTTTTTTTTTAATTATTTTAAAAAAATTTTCTTTCTTTTTAGAACATTCTAAATTTTGATTAAAAAAAACTTGTTTCGCTTTGGACCAACCGGAACTAGTAAAATAACATAGACAATTTTTAGCACGTTTTTTGTTTTTTTTTGTATTACACACATTAATTTGGAAAATCTTGCAAAAATAAAAATAATTGTCGGATGTTAATGAAACTTTTAGAAACTATTCACAGATGATGGAAATTATTATAAATAAGTTTTTTTTATTAAAGTCATGGCAGAAATATTTTTTTATATTTATTACCCACCCCCAACTAATTTTATGAAAACGCTAGAAATTCGATCGCATCGGGTTTAGTGATTACAATAGTTAAAAGCACAAGGCTTTGAGGAATGCAAATCATGTTTTTCTTTTGTTTTTAATTGCACCCCCACTACCTGAAAATCATCTCTGAATTGTAACATACAAAACTCAATAAAACAAAGATATTATTTAATTTTAAATGCTTTTATTTGCTTTTAGTTGTTTTTATGAATATGGACAATATTTTCTGAAAGCAAAAAAATTTTTCGATGAAAAATGAATTTTTAATACAATTATTTGTTATTTCTTTAATTATAATAGATTTTTACATTTAAGTTGTTAAAATATTATAAAAATTAGTTAAAAGCCGCATCGGGTTTCCTAAATGTCTTTATGAGATAGATCTTTTTTTAGCGCGTTGTAAAATCATTTTGACTAATCAGAAGAACCGCAGTAATTAAGAAATCTAATTTTGTGTTTATAATCTGGCTGTAATTATAAAGTACGGAAGATCAACCAGAATACAATTAAGTTGCGTTATTTGAGTTGAGCATTGTTCTCCGCTGTTAAGGCCTTTACTTTTACGAAAAACGTGTGGAGAAGTTAATTTGATTTTTCAATTTCAAATGAGAAGGTTACCTACAAGTATCAGAATCATCTTATGAAATTTATATGATCTTATTTTTATATTAATCTCAGTTATGACATTTTTCCATAAATGAAAAATCAAAATTAATAATAAAATGAATGGAAATACAAATAACACAGTATAATATAGTAAATGTACATAAAATTATAGTATTTTATGTACACTTCTGATAAAATTTCATAAGAAAGGTACCTATATTAATTAGATACCTTTCTTATGAAATTTAATCTCACTCTTAACAGTCTTATTTTAATTTCTTTATAATATATTTCCCATAAAGCATCGTAAACGTAAAGGTGAAAGCTAAGTACAAAAAAAAAAAAAAAGAAAAGAAAAGGAAATAGAGCGTTGAAAGTTTTCTTTAAAAATAACGAGGTAAATAATTTGTTCACTTAAATCTAAATAATTTCATTTTTCGGCTTCCGTAGAACAAATTATGATCCCGTAAATCCGTCAATACGTCATTCAACACCTGTCAAGTGACGCGAAAGTTTATGATCTGCTTTGTTTTATTTTCAAATTACATCTTTTCGGCGCAGAAGCTAAGTTAACCGTGGTTCAAAATATTTTAAATAAACATTATAATTTCTGATTTTCTTAAAATAAGTTTTTGAAAAAATGATAATTGATTTTTAAAAGAATTTCAAAGTGACATTTTCATCTTTTTTTATAAAATGGAAAAAAAATGGATGCCATAATCGATGATCTGTCAATTTTGCTGACTCAAAAAAAAAAAACAAAAAAAACAAGATTTTTAACGAAAATTTCGGACATGCTTGGAACGATTAAAAAATGTAAAAAAAAAATACCCCAAAAATACTTTGATATTTCCTCTTAATAATAACATGAACATTTAGACGATAAAATTTTGTTTTCCTCAAGTTTGGAGTCTTTTTCATCATGCTATGCTCTTTTTTTAGCGATCTCATGGAGGTACCTAACTAAAATATACATTTAATTCACGTAAATCTCAGGGCTGTAAGAATGATATAAAAAATTACGTGATTTTAAAACATAAATGATGAAAGTAACTCCGAACATCATTCTTGCCAGTTAACAATAACAAGCAAGTAGGAAACTTATTTTTCAGGTGAAAGGATTTGCAGTTGAACCAGGTAGATTTCCAGTTGAACTAGGCGGACAGATTTTCAGCTGAGTCAGGTCAACAGATTTGCAGTTGAACCAGGTAAACAGATTTTCTAGCTGAAGCAGGCGAAAAGATTTTCTAGCTGAATCAGGTTAACAGATTTCCAGCTGAACTAACAAAAAATCTTTAAAAATTAAAACGATTTTAATTTCGTTTTCTAAAGGATACCTTTCGCTTTCAACTTCCTTGCATTAAATCTTGACTTTCAATTCATTTTTCTATTCATGAAAAAATCTGTGTGAAAAAAATATGTTGTGAGTCGGTGCTGGTTGAATGGTGGATTAGAATTCGAAATCGGCGAGCCGAGTTCGAATTCCAGTCGACTTTCGTTACTTTCACTTTCAAGCAACTACTTTTGGGAAAGGCATGAATCCACCCCAGTTAAATAGTAGGGTAGACTGGGCTCTTTAGTCTTAGTTGGGAGTCAGTCTAAGAAAAGAACAATTCTGAATTTCAAAACCGTATGTAACCCTGGGAGAACGTTCAATTCCGGTCATCCTTATTTGAACCGTACCTTTTGTTAAATATTCAGGAAATTTTCTCCTAGCCCTTAATATAAGTTGTGTCCATTCTAGGGTAAAGCGTTTCATTACTGAAAATTATAAAAAAAAAAAAAAATCTAACCACTCCTTTTATTCCAAACACCTGGCTATTTGAAACTCAAGTGTAATCATTTACAGGAATCATATAATCATATCATAATATCATATCATAAGATATTCTTTCATGGCTCCATAAACGATACTCAGCATCTCTTAATTGAAAATAACATACACAAAAGGTTTTAATAGCATTTATTGGTCCCTAAACTGAAAGAGGTAGGATACTCGATAGCATTGCTTGTCCTAAGAAGAATTGTTTCCAATGAAATATATTTTCTTGACGGAATTAACTAATTCATTGAAATATTATCAAAATTTGTTCAGAAAATTAGGAGAGACGTTACCAACAGACAACAGTGAATTCATTGAATGGAGAACGCTATCAAAATTTGAAGTTTGGCTTAACCTCGAAACCGGAAGTGACATTAATCAATCGGCGTTCTGAATAATACAAAAAATAAAAAAAAATAAAACTGTTATTGACATTCGAGTTTGTTTACAGGAACAAATATGACAAATGTGTCCGCACATTAAAATACAAAACAAAACAAAAAAATCTAAATGTGGATAGGAAATGCTTTTCATTGACAGGAACCAATTTATCAAATCAGGTTTGACCACAATTTTAAATTTGTCATGTCAAGGTTAATTTTAATGTTAACATTAAAATGTCTGAGATTCTGACTTTGAAACATCGGTTCTCGCAAGATCATCGAATTTAAGCAACGTCGAGCCTGATCAGTATCTAGATAGGTGACCGCTTGGGAATACCGAATGCTGTAAACTATGATGTGCATGTGATATGGCTTACGGTCATATCATGTTAAAACACCAATTCTCGTAAAATCACCAAAGTTAAGCAATGCATAGCCAGGTCAGTACCTAGATGGGTGACCACCGTAGAATACCATGTGCTGTAAGCTTCGATGTGCGGGTGGTGTAACGGAAAACGACTGGGAATAGGAAATCGAAGAGTTGAGTTTCAGTTCTAGTCAGGTTGATTAATATTCACTTACGCGCAAATGCCATGGGAAAAGATATAAATCTACCTCTTCTCTCCCCAGCTATGGGTTAATTAGTAGAACTTGTATCAGTAATTCATTATTATCTTTAAAAAAATCTTACAATCTAAATTTTTTTCTGAATCTAAATAACATGCAAAAGGTTGATAAACCGTAAAAACAAATCAATCGATCAGTCAATGGAGATCGTGGATTATTCATTTTAATCAAAGGTGCTAAAGAATTGATCATTTTCAGTTAGAAAAGAGAAATTTATGAGTCCTGGGCCGCGTTCCATCATTCTAGGACTAGAAGAAGTTCCATATTATTTTATCCATTTTGAAATCTATAGGTCTACCGATTGTACATTTATTTCTATGTCATATTTTTCAGTATCTGTCTATGGTATATAGTCTTTATGAATTTAAGCGCAGAACTAAACTGGCGTCGAGTTCTCATCAATTTACAGTTGAGCTGGTGAGATGTTGTCGTAGATTCTATGCTAGCAGTTTCTTTTCTCGCACTTCTAGCTTGTGGAACCCCCTTCCGGCTCCATACTTTCCAGCCAACTTTAATCTGGAAAAGTTTAAATGCAAAGTCTATCACTATCTACTGTCCTCCTGATTACTCATTTCTCTTTCTACTCACTATTAATGTTTCTATTCCTAGTTCTTCCACATTCTGTAACCCGTTGCGTCTCAGTGGCTTTATTACCTTGCATGGTTGATACCGATTTAAAGAAAAAAGTAGCATAAACTTAAGAGTTATATTAACTTTTTATCACCTTCCGTCAGTAATGCGAGGTCATGATTATTGTGGAATGTTCAATCACTTCATCATTTAAAATCATTTCACCCTAAAGCCACTTAGACGCAAGGGGGGTTGCTGAGTGTGAAAGAATACGAGAAAAAGAAAAACGTTATTAAGGAAAGAGGACAATAAAAGAACATAAATTAAGAAAACAAGCGATAACGATTGACATTGCATTTACATTTTTGAAGATCAAAGTTGACTGGGAAGCAGGAAACCGAGAAGATATTTCCACAAGCGAGAAGTGCGAGAGAAGAAACTGTTAGTATAAAACTTATAGTTACATTTAGCCATTTCAACTGTAAATTAACGACCAATTTTGTACTGAACTTTCGTAGAGTCGACTTACTAAAGAGGAAGGCTCATCAGAACAGTTAAAAAAAAGAAATACATAGATTGATAGAAAAAGCACAGGGAAGCCACGTTACGGCGATGAGGAAATGACTGAAGCCGAGATGCCAAGTCAGGATCAATAACATTGCAGATTATTTGCATTTTGTCAAGAATCTCTAAATATATAGAAAAAAGGCTACATCAGATGTAGCAGCAATTAAATTTTGAAAACATTTATTATAGATATACCGGGTGTAACAGCAAAATTGTCCAAATCGTGTAACCGCATAACTTTCTGTCTATATTTCTGAGATGGGGATGTACATTATTTACATTATTCGGACTTTCGTCCTCATCTTTGTCGCCATATTTATTACAACGTTTCGGCCGTTATACGCTCCGGCCTTCTTCAGGTGGGTGGAATGTCGAATTGAACCCTTTATTTCGCTCACTGGGGTAGACTGTTCTAGTTTCACGTGCCATGTTTAATGGATGTCAGTTATCAGTTATCTCCTGTTAATTTTCCCTCTGAAAGTTCTCCACTGCCGTAACCGGGTATTGAACTCACACTCAAGGACACATGACACAGTGGATAAAAGCGTTAGTTAGATCCAGTGACAGAACCCAAAGAGTAAAAAACTAAATAAAAGCACCTTGTCTGTCGTATTCAATGAAATGTGCATGAAAGAAGGATTGCTGCCTAAATACACGAATATATATATATATATATATATATATATATATATATATATATATATATGAGAGAGAGAGAGAGAGAGTAACAGATAAAATTAAATATTCACTTATCTTCTCTGACTATGAGTGTCGCTGATATTCTGTCCGCTCATCAGAGGGTTTCGTTAAAACTTAACTTTACTTCATTTTTAAATAAAAACAAATTCCAAAACTAAAACTAAAAGAAATAACGGAAATGAAAATAAATTCAATTCTACTATTAAGCCTCCCTGAGAATGGGATATAATCACAGCGTTGTTAATAGTCCTTTCTTCCTGCTTTCTTTTAGTACCTTGTCTAAGTTTTTTTTTCGGTTTTCCTTCCAAGTATGTCATAATCTCTGTGTAATCTGCGTGTCTAACGTTGTTAAGATCCTCCGTTCGCCGATAATAAATCTTAGGAGATCTCGTACTTGTTCTCTGTATAAGCTACAAAAATTCGGTGAATCTCTTAAATATGCTCCTTCTTAAACAGCAAGTAGCGCAAGAGGGGGCAACTCAACAAAACATAAACATGCGACGCTAACACTGTTACCAAAAGTGTAACACACACATTATATATATATATATATATATATATAAGCGAGATGTTCTGGATGATAACCCAGATACTACAGACGTAAACGTTTATATATTACTCAATGTTAATTTAGACTACATATAGGAAGTTTATTTACAGTAAAAATGAAAATAAATAAATGATTGACCCTTGTTTATACTTTGATGTAATCTTTTACAGGAATCAAGTTGGCCTATTTTCCTTTGGTTCTTTGCTTGAAATCTACTTATTTTTGTTTTGTTTTATACTTCACTAAAGTACTATTCATTACTTTTTTATTAATGATTATACTAAGACTGACCGATGTTTGTGTTTAGTACTATTGCTATCAGCACAATTTCATCAGAGATGAAAAAATAAAAAGTAGGTATTTTTTCAGCGCGCCTACATCGCGACCGACACAAGGTCGAGGTTTAAAATGCGTTTACCGTCCATACCGTAGAAAAATTGCTCAAGCGTCCCTCGGCACTTCTCCTTTGGGGGACGCCTCAGGTGCCGGCCAATAAACACATCACCCTCCCGAAGGAGAGGTACTGTCTGAAGGGAAGCTCCCCCCACCTCTACCCCTGGAGTTTGGGCTTAATATTTTTTAAAACTTCCCCAGCATGAAAATTGACATATGATTCTACTGATGAATGTTGAAATAATACCATGGAGAAATCATGTGACAAATAAGGACGATCTTAGGTGAATAAGAACTATAATTTATTTCATCCAAGCAAGGTAATAAAGCAACTAAGACTCAAGGGATTGGTGAGTGTGAAAGAACATGGGAAAAAGAAAATAAGAATTAATATGACAGAAGATAACGACTGACATTGTATTTAAATTTTTGAAGATCAAAGTTGACTGGAAAGAAAAAAGCCGGAAGAGAGTGCCATTGGTGAGATGCAAGAGAGAAGAAACTGTTAGCATAGAACTTACGGTTTCAGCTAGCCATTTCAACTGTAAAATAATGAGACCTAGCTGCCAATCTAGTAGAGTGTTTAATGTAGTAAAGTCAAGGTATAATTAGCATGAAAGTCTTTATAAAAAAAAAGTACAAGGAAGCTACGTTATGTCGGTGGGAAAGTAACTGAAGCCGAGATGCCAGGTTAGAAGAGATAACATTGCAGATTGTTCTTCAGATTTTATCAACAATCTTTCTTTAAATACATAACATAAGCACCAGAACAGATGTAGCAGGAATATTCACTGTATGGATAAATAACAGGCTTACAAATGTGTAAAATAGATTCTGGCAAGAAAAAGCTCTCTAACTCGACTCAGTGAACCAACTTTCCTAGCAGCTGACCTTGCAATTGATTCAATATAATCTTTCTACTTCATGTCAGTGGAAAACGTTAACCCGAGAAGGTGTAAGGAGTCACACTTCTGAAGGTTAGTATGAGCCATACAGATGGAAGGCACAAAAGATTCTTTAAGACAATTCAAAAAGAGCAGTTTAATGTAGTAAAGTCGTAAAGAGGAAAGCTCATCAGAACAAATTAACTTGAAAATATTTATAGGTTACGGCGGTGGGAAAGTGACTATTATTAGTGACGAGATACCAGGCCAGTACCAATAACGTTGCAGATTCTGTTTTTGATTTTACCAAGAATCTCTAAATACATAGCAGAATCATCAGACCAGATGTGCTAGCAATATCGAATGTATGGCCGAATGATAGACCTATAAATGTGTAAAATCGTTTCTGGCAAGAAAAATTGTCTAGGCCGACACATCAGAAAAAGTTAGCTGAAATTATCGGGGCACATCAGGAGAAAAGAAAGCCTGGAGAATTTAACACTTACAAGGTACATGAGAAAGCAAGAGAAGAAGAAGATGAAATAATTAACTAACCAGCTTGACAGATTTAGGAGAGGAGTAAGTATATCAAAGCGACATAGGAATCATAACTGAGTGTTGCTGAGAGTAACAAAGAACAGGAAGCTGTGGAGAGCCAAAACCACGAAGGATATGGAACATAGTTATATGCTTAATTTTGCCATTTTTATCATAGATTTCACTTGTTCAGAAAACCCGCTACTTCGTTACTTGATGGTCCCAAGTTTGCCGGATTATTGATGTCCAATTTATTATAACTGAATTAAATTGTGCGTTAATTCGTTCACTTCTTAAGTCGGTCTCATAAAACTGAACATCTGTTCTGTAGATAAACTCTATTACTTGTTAATGCTAATAACATCTTTATCATACACGACATTTCAAGAATAATAGTTATATATATATATATATATATTCAGTGGGGTTTCAGCTAAGATTTACCAAGATAATGAGGCTTGTATTTGGATAAAGGTTGGCAGGCAGGGGAATGTTATGCGTGTAAAAGTGAAAAAAAAACTAAAGGGCAATAATGATTCTTCCAAGTGGAGTTTGGATCGAGAGAATTAATGAGTTATAGCTATAAATTCAAGAAAAAAAAGCATAATGTCCAATGGAGGGTAGATAGATAGAGAGAGGGAGAGAAAGAGAGAATCGAAAAGAGAGAGGAAGAGAGGAGAGCATGGGAGAGAAAGAGAAGAGCGTATTGGAAAGAGAAAGGAAAATTTTGTAAGAAAAGACGAGGGAATGAAGGAAGGGGAGGAAGAGGAGTGTGAAAGAGAGAAGGAGAAAATTTGAAAGAAAAAGGAAGTGAGTGTAAGAAAGCGAGAGAGTGCGAAAGAACATTTGAAATGAAAGGTGGGAGAGTGTAAGAAGAAGAGAGGGGTATGAAGGAAAAAGAAAATTTGAAAGAAAAATTGAGAGTGTGTAAGAAAGAGTGAGAGGTGGCGTGTGAAAAAGGAATTTGAAAGAGAAAAGAAGAAAATTTGAATGGAAAGGTGAGAGAGTGAAAGAAGAAGAAAAAGAGAAGGAATAGTGTGAAGGAAAATGAAAATTTGACAGAAAAAAAGGTGAGAGAGTGTAAGAAAGAGTGGGAGATGGCGTGAGAGTGAAGTGTAAAAGACAAACGGAGAGAATTTCTAAGAAAAGCTGAGATGTTAACAACTAGAAAGACCTTTTTTAATTTGGAATAATATTTTATAAATATTAGAAAAAGGATGTTGTGGAGAGTCATGTTCACCTAAATCCTGAAGGAAGAACTGTTTAGTGAAGAAGGGAATGATTGATGAATTATTCTTGCAGTACGATTTTTATTGGCCTTGTACCAAACTTCTATTTGGCATTTCTCTTCAGGACGTGGGCGATCATGGCACTTCACAACTTCCTATCTTGTGTCGCTTTCAATAACGTTTTTTCCGCTGTCTTCTCCTGTCCCCTTTGCCTTCGATTTGTCCTGTGAGTGTTAAATTCTCCAAGCCTTTCTTCCCCATTACGTCCCCAAGAAATTCCATCTGTTTCTTTCTGATCCTGAGTATCATTGTCCTATTTGCTGCCATTTTCCTTAAGGCATTTTCGCTGCTAATACACCCCGTCAGTAATATTCTCAGTATAATTCTGTTGCCTGCATTTTCCTCTTCATCAATGAGAAAACTATCTAACATTCACTGCCATACAGGAGGACTGATATGACATAGCAGTTCAGAACTCTTCGTTGTTTCCAACGAAAATTTTCTCTTTCTTAATACTTTGCTTAGCTTTTGGAAGACATCTTTCTCTATTCCAATGCAGGTTCGGATTTAGGTGTCACAATTTTTGTCATTTGTTATAACACTTCCCAGATAAAATCTTCACATCAAAAGGCTGGAAGCATTAAAAAACATTTTAAAATATGGAAGGTCATTTCCTTACAGAGAAAAAAAAATGACGTTAGTTTCCTTGTTCCTGTTTTCCTTAAGACAACTCTGTGGCTCAAATGTTATGCACTCCTTTCATTGTATTCTCAGTATCCTTCTGTAGAACCATATTTATGTTTCTTCAAATTTCTTCCTCATCTGTGAGGAGATTGTCCAGCATTCACTGCCATATAAGAGGATTCTTACAACATAACAGTTCAGTCCACTTTTTCTTTGTTTCTAATGAAATGTTCCTGTTTCTTAAAACATTGCTTAGCTTTTGAAAAGCATCTTTCGCTGTTTCAATGACCGTTTCATCTGAAGGTAAAAGTTAACGAGTTCGTAGTCAATTATGGGTAGAGAATTCAGTACTCATCGATTGTCTCACACCTGTGACGTTACCAAGCTAAATTTAGTTAATATACGTAACAAGAATGTAGAAAAAAAATCTGTCGAGAAAAACACTGGTTAACGTAGACGAACGAACCAGCAAACGTACAAAAAAGTTTTTTTTTTTTTTTAATGGCAATTAAATCCGATGCCATATAAACATTCCTCTCATTTTTTTTTCTTTTAAAGATTGATTAAACATATCCTGGGGATCATATATGTGAAGTTGCGGTAGTATAATGATTATTCAAACGCCAGAGACCACCAGAGCAAGTATTACATATACAGTCCAATAGAGAAGATTAGGAGCGTCAATCATCTCACTTTTTGCTGGAACAGATGACTAAACAGAAGAACAATCTATGTCAATGCTATTGAGTTGAGCTTTATCATCTTTTTAATCATTTCACCCCAAGCAAGGCAATAAAACTACTAAGACACAAGGAGTCAGTGACTGTTAGAGAATATGAGAAAAACCACTATTAAGGAGCGAAAACAATAAAAGAACAAACATTAAGAAGACAGGAGATTACGATTGACATTGCATTAAAATTTTTGGAGATCAAACTTAACTGGGAAGCAAGAAGCAGGAGGAGAGTTCCACATGCGAGAGGTTCAATAGTAGAAATTGTTAGCATAGAACTTACGGTTACATCCAGCAGCCATTTCAACTGTAAAATATGAGACCTAACCGACAATCTAGTACTGCGATTAAATTCATAAAGTCTAGGCACCGTAATGGAAATTTCATCAGAACAATTATTGATAATAAAAAAAAGGCACAGGCAAGCTACGTTACGGTAATGGTGAAGGGACTGAAGCCGAGATGCCAGGTCAGGATCAATAACATTGCAGATTCTTTGGATTTTATGAAGAATCTCTAAATATATAGCAGGAGCACCAGACCAGACCAGATCAGACGTGGCAGCAATATTCAAAGCAAGGACGAATGGTAGACTTATAAATATGTAAAATAGATTCTGGAGAGAAAAATTGTCTACCACGACATAGTGAACCAACTTTCTTAGCTGCATAATCATTATTCTAATTAAATTTAAAAATAAATAAAACTCCATCTTCCTTTTTTTCTTCTTTGAAGCATTTTCTTCTCAAAATTCTATATAATTCTTGCGTAAAAAATGTCTTGTGTAATTCCAGAAAACAACAATTACAATCATCAACATTAACATCAGTCCCATGACCGAGTGTGAGCGAAGGGTCGCTGCGCAGCTAACCAGTTCCCTCTAGATATCGCAGTTGGGTACCAATGTCTGGGTCTATAAATGATTTTCCAACCCATTTTCCCCTCTGTCTGCCTAAGGTGGTACCTCGTATAATAGCAGTGGAAAGGTTATTATTTCATGACGTGGCCATATTGTTTCAACTTTTTCTTTTTGACTGTGGTATTGAGATCTTTCAATGAGCCGATTTCTTGTTTAATGGTGTCTCGAACTACGTCATTTGTGATGTAGTCTAAGAGATCCCGAGGATGGTTTTGTAATATAACATTTCTAATGCTTCGATTCCTGTCTGTAATTCTGATGTTAATTTTCAAGGCTTGCAGATATAAAGAAAGATTGAGAAGGTCAATACACAAAACAGTTTGGTCTTTGATTTCAAGATGTTGTCAGCTTTCCAGATGGTTCTTAGTTTTGCGGAAGTCTAAGCAGCCTTCCCTCCATGAGCAAAAGGAATGGCTGTTTGGTCTAAATGTAATCTGTTTGTGATTTATACGGGTAATTCCCTGGTAGCATTTTTGTTATCTCTTCTTTTTTAGTCATTTTGCATCTATTTTTTGTCCTCGATTTGTTCTAAAGAGCGAAGATTGATAACCGATTTGCAAATTTTTGTTATAATTTTTTTACAATGGCTATTCTTTTTGCTATCAACTAGCTTTTCTTCTTGGGTTTATATATTTGTATATATAAAATATACATTTAAAATGCCTTCTTTAAGTTTTAATACACACACACATATATGTGTGTGTGGGGAGGATAGAGTGAAAGCAACAGATAAAATTAAATGTTCACTTATCTTCTCTGACTATGAGTGTCACTGATATTCTGTCCACTCATCAGAGGGTTTTGTTAAAACTTAACTTTGTTTTTATCTAAAAATAAAGTAAATTCCAAAAATAAAACTAAAAGAAATAACGAAAATGAAAATAAATTCAATTATACTATTAAGCCTCCCTGAGAATGGGATATAATCTCAGCGTTGTTAATAGTCCTTTCTTCCTGCTTTCTTTTAGCACCTTGTCTAAGTTTTTTTTTTCGGTTTTCCTTCCAAGTATGTCATAATCTCTGTGTAATCTGCGTGTCTAACGTTGTTAAGATCCTCCGTTCGCCGATAATAAATCTTAGAAGATCTCGTACTTGTTCTTTGTATAAGCTACAAAAAATTCGGTGAATCTCTTAATTATGCTCCTTCTTAACAGCAAGTAGCGCAAGAGGGGGGCAACCCAGCAAAACAGGTAAAGAAATCTGGAATCTTTAAAACTTGACATCTGACTCGGATACCCACTTTTGACATCTGATTCAGCTCCCCACTTTTAACATTTGACTCGACTCCCCACTTTTGACATCTGATTCAGCTCCCCACTTTTAACATTTGACTCGACTCCCCACTTTTGACATCTGATTCAGCTCCCCACTTTTAACATTTGACTCGACTCCCCACTTTTGACATCTGATTCAGCTCCCCACTTTTAACATTTGACTCGACTCCCCACTTTTGACATCTGATTCAGCTCCCCACTTTTAACATTTGACTCGACTCCCCACTTTTGACATCTGATTCAGCTCCCCACTTTTAACATTTGACTCGACTCCCCACTTTTTACATCTGCTTCAGCTCCCCACTTTTAACATTTGACTCGACTCCCCACTTTTGACATCTGATTCAGCTCCCCACTTTTAACATTTGACTCGACTCCCCACTTTTTACATCTGCTTCAGCTCCTCATTTTTAACATCTGATTTAACCATCCGACTTTTTATTTTATGATTCCGTGCCTATGCTGTGAGACTGAATGTAAGTGAAGTCGGTGCCTTATATGTCACCTGTTCAGTCGGATGCATGTGAGAGTGCACAGGCATTTATTACCCCTCAAGGAGCATATACAGTCTTGGGTGTTAACACGCGTCTGCACTCTCACAGAAATACGACTGAATATTACATATATCAACAGACCCCATATATACATCCATATTAAATCTGTATTTTCTGTCATTCAGCTATATTATCTGTACGTTTCTATCAGGTTATGATACAAGTGCTACTGGTAACACAATACTACCTGCCGCGTGGTTGTATCATCGGTAACTAAACCGGTTTCCCCACCAGGCTTTTCTGGTGAGGAGAGTGGCTAGACAATCAGCGGGATTAAAAACAAGACCCGTCAAAGGGCTGACAAACCTTCTTGTTGGGCCGACAGCCATCTACTACAGTGTCCAGAGATATGTATGTTACCAGTACGGGGATGACATGGTATCGCCGAGCAGGAGGCTTCCTGGACTGATGTGAACGGTCAGCGCTGAGGGGTTTCCCCGATGAAATGAACAGCCAAGTTTCCAAGTTGTCAGACATTGACTGTGGATTGACCTCGAGCAGGATGGGTTTCGTCAGGTCTGTTTGCACAATAGACGTATGAATGAACACTGCTCCCATTTTAAACACAGGTCTATGGAGGGAACTGGCAAGGTGCTCAGTTACGCAGTAACCATACGACCACACCCATTCCGTCCTGGGTATGACGATAAACTGCATCCGGCAGCAAGGCCTCTGATCAGGATGTTTTGAAGAGCGTGGAACCACCTCTTAATTCCTGTTGTTCCCGCGGTGGTAGCACCTGTTAGGGTACCAGCT